CTCCCACGACAAATGATGTGATGTATATAAAGCATTCTTATATTTGGCACATAGTAATTTTTCAAATGCTCTATTGTAAACTATTATTTTTGTGTTTTTTTAATATCATTCTCGTTCTTTGTCCAGTCACTGAAGATAGCTGTTGGAACCAAGTGATAAGACCAGTCTGGTTAACACTCTCATCCTGTGACTGAAATCTGTAGGGGAAGTAGCTGTTTGTAATTAAGTCTAGCCTGTTTACTGCATATGCGTGCCTATATTAAATATGTTAAATTTAAAACATTTAAGACTTTAAAAATTTAAACCTGAGACTTCGCCCAGCCCAGACCCTGAGATCTCACGTCTGTGCAGCGGCCTTCGCCATGGAGCAGTTGAGCACAGCAAATACCCACTTTGCCTTGGACTTGTTCCGGGCCTTGAATGAAAACAACCCGGCTGGAAACATCTTCATCTCTCCCTTCAGCATTTCCTCAGCGATGGCCATGATCTTTCTGGGGACCAGGAGCAACACTGCCTCACAACTGTCCAAGGCTTTCCATTTCGACACAGTTGAAGAGATTCATTCAAAATTTCAGAGTCTGAATGCTGATATCAACAAACGTGGAGCATCCTATATTCTGAAACTTGCTAATAGATTATATGGAGAGAAAACCTATAATTTCCTCCCCGAGTTCTTGGCTTCAACTCAGAAACTGTATGGTGCTGACTTGGCCAGTGTGGATTTTCAGCATGCCTCTGAAGACGCAAGGAAGGCCATAAACCAGTGGGTCAGAGGACAGACAGAAGGGAAAATTCCGGAACTGTTGGCTGCAGGAGTGGTTGATAACATGACTAAACTTGTGCTGGTGAATGCCATCTATTTCAAGGGAAACTGGCAGCAGCAATTCATGAAGGAGGCCACGTCCAATGCACCATTCAGATTGAATAAGAAAGACAAGAAAACAGTGAAAATGATGCATCAGAAGAAAAAATTTCCATATGGCTACATCCAGGACCTTAAGTGCCGTGTGCTAGAACTGCCTTACCAAGGCAAGGAACTCAGCATGTTCATCCTGCTGCCAGATGACATCGAGGACGAGTCCACGGGGCTGAAGAAGATTGAGGAACAACTGACTTTGGAAAAACTGCATGAGTGGACCAAACCTGAGAATCTGGATATCATGGAAGTCAATGTCAGCTTGCCCAGGTTCAAACTGGAAGAGAGCTACACCCTCAACTCCGACCTAGCTCGCTTAGGTGTGCAGGATCTCTTTAACAGTAGCAAGGCCGATCTGTCTGGCATGTCAGGAGCCAGAGATATTTTTATATCAAAAATTGTCCATAAATCCTTTGTGGAAGTGAATGAAGAGGGAACAGAGGCGGCGGCTGCCACGGCAGGCATCGCCACCTACTGCATGTTGATGCCAGAGGAAAATTTCATAGCTGACCATCCATTCATTTTCTTTATTCAGGATATTTCCTCAAAGACCATGTTGTTCTTGGGCAGATTTTCTTCGCCATAGACTGTGGCAATACAAGATCAAGCTTAGAGTGTTATTACCTGAGTTTGTAATGGTGCCGGTTT